TCACCACCGTGCTTTCAGAGAGTGGCAGCCAGGCCGTGTGGGTGCTGCAAACCTGTCCCATGAGGAACAGTTGAAACTGGAGACCTTTAACCAGGAGCAGAAGCAATATAACAGCCTTCTGTGGAAAGGGGAATAGGCTCTCCTTGCAGAATTAAAAAAGATTTAGGAAACAAGTTTCTGTTTAACATAAGTAAGGACATTTCAGTACTTAGCATTGTCTACTGGCTAGTAGTAGCCTTTAATCACAACCCTATTTTAGGTACAGCCTACAGGTTTAGGTGCTGTTAGCCTTGTTTTACAAATGCGGAATCTGAGACGAGTTTAGTAACTTGGTGCAAAGTCACGTAGCTGTTGAGCCAGAGAGCTGAAACTGGAACCAGCCCTGAACCACAGTCCATCCTCTTAGCCACGCTCTGCTGCTCTGTCTGTAAAAATGCTGAATAAGGGTAGACTCAGCACCTTCCAGAGGTGCTGCAAAAAGATTCTTGCTTATGGGAAGCTATCCTTTGCTGCCCTGGGAGGCCCCTGCCAACCCTGACATTCTGTGGCCTCAGTCTTTCCCTCACCTGTGGTATGCAGCCATCTTGGTGGCCCAGCCCCAGCAGGCCTTCCTCTGCCCGCCTGTATGTAGCACAGGGGGTTGCTGACTACCTGGCCTTGACTGCTCCTGTATGCTGTTCACCTCGCCAGCTAGAGCGCAGCCTCCCTTTACAGGGTCAGGGCCTGGCTCTTTCGTCTCGCCTTTTCCCCAGCACGCAGTCTGGCTGCTTCCCATGGCGGAGATCTGTTCTGGCCGCTCTCACACGGCTGGCCCCAAGTGGTATCTGATGCATGTTTCTTTCCAAAACCCCAGGATAGAATATGTAACAGTGACTCCAGAAGGATTCCGATACCGGGGCCAAATCTTCCCAACTGTGAATGGACTTTTCAGATGGTTTAAGGATCATTACCAGGATCCTGTACCAGGTGCGTTCTCCTCTGCCCTGACTTCTGGGCTGTGGTTGGAGGGACACCTAGAGCCTGAGTCAGGCTAATCACTGACCTTTTAGGGGAGGGGCTAAGGTCTGGACTGTCATCGCAGCTGTCTTACTCCAACCTCCTAGCATCAGGGAAGTCCTCCACGCACTTTGTCTCTGTAGTTTTCTTCCTTCTTCCACCTGCCTCTCTACCTCTACCAGCCCTCTAAGTGTGAAACCAGAGATAAGTTTCTGGAAGGATGTAACTAACTCTAGCTGTTTCCTACAGGTATCACCCCCAGTAGCAGCAGCAGGACTCGGACACCTGCCTCTATCAATGCTACCCCAGCCAACATAAACCTTGCAGGTGAGGAGCTTGTGCTTGGAAATGGGGCGGGGGGTGGGGGGTGGGGTGAAGGGCAGTGTGGAGCTAGAGGGACTTTCACCTCTTACACTCTTACCCCCACCTCTCTGTGCTTACAGATCTTACACGGGCTGTCAACGCCTTGCCCCAGAACATGACCTCGCAGATGTTCAGTGCCATTGCTGCTGTGACAGGCCAAGGACAGAACCCCAACGCCACCCCAGCCCAGTGGGCCTCCAGCCAGTATGGCTATGGTGGCAGTGGAGGGGGCAGCAGCGCTTACCATGTATGTGGCTTGGGGAGGAGGCTCCTTGCAGGGAGGTAGGGAGGAATAAAAGAGAATGGTCATCCTTTATCAACACATGTCCATAGACTGGCCCCTGGCAGTGTCCACCACAGAGGCTTCTCATATACAGATGGGGCTGCCACAGCCTTAGGAACTGTCTCTAATATATACTACTTTTTCTCAGACTCTTTTGAGGAGAAAGGGAGTAAGAGAGGGCCTAGCGTTTCCACAGAGTTCTTTGAGATCTTTGGAACCCTCAAGCCTCTGGAAATCTCAGGTGGTCAGGACTTGTGGGCCTCATCATTGGGCCAGGTCCTACCCCACTAAACCCAAAAAAACTCATTGCCATCAAGTCAATTCCGACTCATAGCCTCCTTGTAATGGCCAGACCTGCTGGCCTACCTCTGCTGTTCACAACCACATGCTGTCCAAGAGAGGGTCAGCTGGAAAGCTCTGTGCTGATCCCAACTCTTCAGCTTGCTGGGAATTTCCAGCAAGGCCAAACAAGCCCAAGGCCCACCCCCACTTAATTAACTCTTCACCCTTTTCCAGGTGTTCCCAACCCCAGCCCAGCAGCCAGTGGCCACACCACTAATGACCCCCAGCTACTCCTACACGACCCCAAGCCAGCCCATCACCACTCCGCAGTACCACCAGCTACAGGCCAGCACCACCCCCCAGTCTGCCCAGGCCCAGCCTCAGCCCTCATCCAGCTCCCGGCAACGGCAGCAGCAGCCAAAGTAAGTATCCGCAGGTTATTTATAGGGGAGGTATTGTCAGGAGGCCAAGGGACTGTGAATAGGCAAGTGCTCTGGATCCTCTGAGAGCCCGTGACCTAGGTGATGTCCCCAAATGACTGGTTTCTGGGGAAAGACAAAAAAGGGTAGTGTGGCAGCAGACCACTGCTGCTTCTGCCTCACCACAGCAAAGGGGCTGCTGCCCGTCAGTGTAAGGTCCCTTTCTTTTAAGGGTCGGAGCTCACCAGTGATTGGTGAGCTTCCTTCTAGCCAGCCCCTGCAGAGTCCTGATCTCAAAGGTCCTCTCTTCCCCTCCCCACCCCAGGTCCAACAGCCATGCAGCCATCGACTGGGGGAAGATGGCGGAGCAGTGGCTGCAGGAGAAGGAGGCAGAGCGGCGGAAACAGAAGCAGCGGCTGACACCTCGGCCCTCCCCCAGCCCCATGATCGAAAGCACCCCCATGTCCATTGCTGGCGATGCCACCCCACTCCTGGACGAGATGGATCGATAGGGGGCCTGCTTCTAGGACTCTGGTTACCTCTGAGGCTGGCAAAGACCTGGCCACCCACTGCCTCACTCCCTGCTCCCTCGTTTTCTGTCCATAAAGTGGCGTGAAGTGACGTTCTCTTTGGTGGTCAGCCTGGATGGGTGACAGGCTGGATGGCCTTGCGAACTTGAGCTCACTGTGCGCTAGGCAACAATTCTCCCGCTCCAGGCCCATACGGACCACCTGTCCTGGGACCAGGCTGGGAGGGGAGTGTGGCAGGGAGGAGGAAGAGGAAGATGAGAATGAGAGTGGGACAGTTTTGTATTCTGCTCCCTACAAGCCATTTCGAGCTTCTGCCCCCACCTGACTCTGGGCTGTGACAGGGGCACCAAGCTCAGCACATGAGTCTCCCCTAGCTCTTGTGGGGAGAGGGATGCTATTTATTCAGTTTGGGGCAGGAGGGAAAGTATTTCTGACCTGGATGCCAACAGCTCAGGTGGCTATGAAAGCAGGAGATCAGGGGACAGAGCGGAGCAGAGCTAACCTGCCCAGCACCTGCCTGGCTGCCCTTACCTACCTGCTGCCACTGCCGCCGCTTCCTGCCTGTCATTTGAATAAACAGTGTTTCTACAGAGCACTTGCCGCACCCTGTCTCCACCTCTTCGCCTCTTTGAGGAGTGGCTTTCAAAGCAGTGTGGAGCTGTAGGGCTCCCCTGACTCCCACTTCCGATCCAGGAGAGAGGCAATGGTCCCCGGTAGTAGAGAGCAAGGACATGACCCCAGGCAGTCTGATCCGGAAGCCGCCTGCCTGAGGTCACATCCCTGCCCTGCTTCTTAGTTCCAGGACCCTTGTGCAAGCTACTTACTGTCTCTAAATCTGCTTTCTTACCTGCAAGATGGAGATGATAATACCTACCTCATCAGCTGCTGGGAAGACTGGTATAATGTGTACGAAGTGCTTAGCCTGGTGCTTGGTACATGAAAAGCCCTCAATAAATGCTAGTGCTGTTATTACAATCACTCACAGTAACCCGTCCCGTGCCTTGTGGTCTTCTCTGGCATAACGAGAAAGGCCACAAGGAAATCTGGGTTTCTTACTTCAGACCGCTGCACCTGCCACTCTTCCCGTTTTTTTTGCCAGCTGGCCCTTCATCTCTGACAATACTTCCAGGCAAGCCAAGGGTTTCTGCCCCAGGATGGTCTCCCACCGTCACCTGCCCCCTCCCCACCCCCCACGCCCTGGAAAAGGTTGCTGGGATGTTGCTGGGAGGACTAGCCAGCCTCCTGGTCCTGGTCCCTTCCCCCACCCCCACTGCCTCTTTTGTGCTGGACTCCTGGTCGCCCCTGTGTATCTTCACAAGGGCTTCAGCTCACAGCTTTGTAAGTCACTGCTGGCAAAGTTAAGGGTTTGCCCTCTGCCCCTGCTTGGGGCTCTGCAGAGAAGTCAGGGCCCCTGCTGCCCAGACTTGATGAGCTCCTTCCCTTCATCATTCAAGATCTCTTTTGTTTTTTTTTTTTTGGAAAGGGTGCGGGGGAAGAGGCTGGCCCTCTGCCGGGAACTCAGTTCTCCCTTGAGCCCAAAAAGTCTGCAAGGGCCTAGCTAGAGCAGGGCCACACCAGCTGCGAAGGTCGTGTCCCCTGTGGTGCCATGAGCACCTCCTGGAGCAGGTGGAAGCCTTGGCCAACCCGTGTGCTGCCCTGCCCCACCTTCCCCAGGGCCACTTAGAGAAGGAAAGGCCAGGAACGGTGTAGTGGGTTAAAAGTTTCACTTTATTGTGGGTATTACCGCAGACAGTGCTCCCTATCCCAGAAGGAGAAGCCGCACAGACCAGTCTCCCAGTAGAGGGAAAGCCCTCCTACCTACCCCCAACCCACGTGTATTCTTCTGTCCTGGTCCTAGTATATTAAGAAAAACGGCTGTGTCCCTCCCCTTCCCCCAGTAGGTCAGTAAGGGTGTCCCTCCCATCCACCTTCCTGTGAACTTCATTGAAAGCCAAATTGCCCTTCAGAAACCGCTACAGCCCCTGGCCCCTTGGCTCCAGCTATGCCCAGAACCGCCCCCCTCTGAACACACACACACAGAAGTAGCCCAGTTGGAGAGAGAGAACAGCAGTAGGGGGTCAGCTATAGGCTTGATGGAATTTATTCTTAGCCCTGGTCACCCTGGCCTCAACTGAGATTGGGGTTTGATGCTGGGGGAGATTTCCTCTTGTTTACTTTCCTGACTTGTGAGACCTTCCCCTGGACTTCTTGTTCTGGTTTGTGTTCTCTCTCTTCCTGGGAGATGGAGACTCCATAGTATCCTCGCTGGAGGGTTCCTCCCGTCTGGGGTCATTGTAGCTGCCCTCACTCTCCAGGTCGTCCCGGCTGTCGGGGCTGGACTCCGACATCCTGGCCAACTCTCTCGGGCTTACGGATCGGCCTAGGTCTGCAGGCGAAGGTTCCGATTTAACTGGGCTTTTCTTCTTAGTCACCTTGCCCTTCTTGACTTTTTTCTTCAGCTTTGCCTTCTCCTTGTCTGATTCCTCCTCATCTTTCTCTTTTTCCTTTTTCTTTACCTTCTTGATCACCTTGTGGCTCTGGCTTTTCCCTGTGGGGCTCTCAGAGCGCCAGATGGTGATGGGAGCTGCTGAGTCAGGAGTACCAGTGGTGGTGCCAGTGACCGTGCCAGTGCTTGTGTCAGGGGGCTTGGTGGGGGGCCCCACCTGGGTCGGGATGGGAGGCTTGCTTTCTTCTTCCTCCTCTTCTTCATTGAGGTCATCTTCCCCAAACTCATGGTGGATGGGATGGTGGATCACTGCCACCGAGACAGGCCTGTAGCTTTTGCACCTGTTGGGGGAGGGTGACGGGGAGAGAGGGCTGGAAGGAGGTGGGGGGCAGTGCCCAATAGAGCCCCCTAATCCCCTGTCGGCCTGCTAGCACTCACCAGCCATACCAGAACCGTTCCACACACTCTTCCTCATCTGGGATGAGCCCAAAGCAAGGGGTCTGGATGATCTTGCAGCAGGTTGGGCTCACATCTCGGGAACAGGTTTGGCCCACATCTCGGGAGCTGCTGCTATTTGCCTTCTCTGAGCATTCCTTCACCCTGCCACACAAGACTCAGCCTGGCTCCCACACCTCCAGGATTCCCCAAGGGCCCAGAGCCAGAAGGCTGGGAGACAGTGGGCTTCCCTGGGCTCTGCCCCAGCTGCCACGATACCTCCTCCCGTTGCTCTTGGAGAGGGGAACCACAATGAGTTTGGGGTCTAGCTCTGCCCAGGCATCTCCATTGTGCTGTGGGTCCCCCAAGGAGGGGGCCCTCACCTAGAATCACAGTCGCAGTGGCTGACGGTGTGCAGGTGCAGCTTGTGGTGACCATGGTCAGAGATGAGGGGGTGGATGATGTGCCCAGAACACTGCTTGTGTTTCCAGCAGCACCTGTCAGTCTCCTTGAAATCACCTGAAGAGTAAGGGCCTGGGTCACTTGGGCTGCAGCAGCACACCCAAAGTCTCCCTTCCCACAGCTCAGTCTAAAGCCCATAAGTGATCTTGGGCCTCACCAAATTCACCTGCTACCACCACCGGCCCCCTTGGATTATTTCTAGGGTCTTAGCTCAGTAGTAACTCCAAGTTCCAGCACTCCTCTTCCCCAATCCACTACACAAATCCCCCTGTCTTCTGTATGTCCTCACCAAGTCTCCTTGCTGTCCTGTGACACCCTGCCCCTTTCCCTCCCCTGCCTTCTTTGGGAGCCTGCCCTCCACTGACTCCTGCCTACTCCCCTCACCCAGCTACTCAGTAATCAGCTATCCTATCCACAAGGTGCCTGGGTACGGGAAGACCATCTTGCCATGGCAGATGGTAGAGCTTCAGGAGCCCCACTTTGTAACCCCTGTGATTGGAGCCAGGAGCAGCAGCAGCATCCCCACTTCCTATGCCTCCACTGCACAGGCCTGGGAAGCCCAAGTCCGACCCCTCACAGCCTCTGAAGCCACTCCAGCCACAAGGCCTGCTATGGTGGCCCCATGAGCAGCTAAGGCCTAACCTGCCCCCACATCCTACTCCTTGGCTATGGCAGCCTCCTTCTCCTTCACCCTTTATATCACTTCTACTCTGGTCCTTTTGCCTCCAAGCCCCTTTTCTTCTCTCCTAACACCTTTCTCACTATCCTCCCCTTTCCCACGCCCACCCAATCTATTGTTTCCCGGGAGCTCCCATTCCCCATCCATTCTCTCTCCCCAGTCCCTAGAGCCACAGACTTTTGAACAACCAACTTCCCAGCCTAAGCCCTTCTACCTCTCTTTAGGCATCACCCCTCTCCCTGACCCCCAAAGATACCATGTCCCCTTTCCAAGGGCACAGGGGAGAAGCTTCCAGGTGAGAGTTTGGGGTTAGGTAGAAGTCCTAGAAAAAGTGTTCCCACTTGTTTTGCTCAGCTGATTGAACCCACACTGGCCTTTCCCAAACTCCACCCCACTGTCTCACCTCTGACCCTGCCTAAGGCTCCAGTCCACTGTTGGCTGTACCCTCTCAGGCCACCATCCCTAAGACAAGGCCCATGAGGTGACCCCATGTCCCTCATAGCCCAAGAGCCCAAGGTCTCACACACTAGGCAGAGGACAAGGAGGTGTCCAATATATCACCCTGGGCAGCCTTACTGCCAGTACCCCCAATATCAGCTCCACCCCACCCCTAGAGGAGGGAGGGGATGCTGATGAGTTGCCATGGCAGCCTGGCGTGGGGTGCTGTAGTAGCTAACAGCCTCCAAACGACTGTGCCTTTCTCTAGCCCTCAAGAGGGGTGGAACCGGGTGAGATCTCATACTGGCCACCAGCCAGGAAATAACCCAGGCTGTGGGTGTGTTAGGAGACCTGGTGGCACAGTGGTTCAAAGCTTGGCTGCTCACTGAAAGGTCAGCCCTTCAAACCCACCAGCCGCTCTGCGGGAGAAAGATGCGGCAGTCTGCCTCCGTAAACATTACAGCCTTGGAAACCTTATGGAGCAGTTCTACCCTGTCCTATAGGGTCACTATGAGTCGGAATCAACTTGAGGGCAGCAGGTTTGGTTTTAGGGTGTGGGTGTTAGTCCAAGTGGACTTAAAGTGCCTGAGAGATGAGGATGCTGCCGCTTGGTCTGAGTCTTGCTCCACGTCCCTCCTCCTGCCCCTCCCCCCAACCCCGGCCAGGCTGTGAGGGTCCTGGTTCCCCACCACCTCCCTGACCCCCTTGGTGACCTCCTTTTCTGCTTCCTTTCCTTCTGTGCCCTTTCTCTATCCCAGGGAAATAGAGAAGGGATGTGAGGCTGGACCTGGCTGGAACATCACCACTCAGGTTTGTTCAGTACTGCTGAATTGCGACAAAAGGCAGCATAGTGGCAAGTGCCCTGAACTTGTAGTCGGACAAGCCTAGTTCTAGTCCTGCCTCTGCCACCTACTAGCAGGGTGACCCAGGACAAGTTAGTTAACTTCTCTGAGTCTCCATTTCCTTATCCACAGAATGGAGATGGCAGCAATACCCATTTTGCAGGGTTGCAGGGAGGACTCAGTCCACATATGTGAAAGTTATTTGTGCACTATGAAATGCTGCACAAAGGGAAGGGTGGCCGTGGCCTCAAGGAAGTGGTCTGGCATCAGGAGGGAGGTGAGGGGTGGCTGGGTAACCCTATCAAGGCCAAACACTTCCTTCCCTCCTGCCTATAACCAGGTCTCAGCTTTCCCAAGTGAGGGGTGGTGGGGACTGTGGGGACAGGGATCTCCTAGACCCACCTTCAGAGGAGAAGGTAGATGTGTCAGTGCTGGATGCCACGTCAGCCAGCAGATGTCCTCTCTCCCAGCTGGGCAACCTGTTTATATCTGAGAGAGCACAGAGTGGCGCCAGCAGCCATACCCCTCCCCATGCCATTCAGTCGCCCAACATCTCCTGAGATGCTCCAGGCGTTAGGTCCCAGCTGCATCATAGAAATGCAGACATTAAAAAAAAAAAAAGAAGAAGAAGAAGAAGAAGAAAAACAGTCCCTGCCCTTAAGAGGCTAGGGTGGGGGGACACAGGAGAGATATATGAATGGATAATGACAATAGGTTAATGGAGACGATGATGGGGGGAGATGGTAGGGAGGAAGACCTATGGGAGCACGGAACAAGGACACCTACTAAGACTAGGAAGGAGGAAGAGGATTTTTCTTGGGAAACTTCTTGGAAGTTTTGGAAGATTTCTTGGAAGAAGCATTATTGGAGCTGATTCTGGAGTGGTGAATAGAATTGAGCCAGGGTCTAAGCAAGGAGGGACAGCTCCAGAAATTGTCCCAGGGTATGTGGAGTCTGGTCAGAGGGTGTCCCCATGCAAACAGACCTCCAACTGGGACAGCAGCTACCCCAGTTATCAGCAACCACAGGATAGTCTGTCACTATCCCTTTCCTTCCCATGATTAGCCTTGTCCTTTGGGGCATCGAAGAGGAGCCCTGCTTAAGGAAGGGGAGCTGATTGCCTAGAGACTTCAGCCAGGCACTTGGTCATCCTTCTACAGGTCCTTGGTCAGCTCCTTCTCCTGTTTCCCACAGCACGTAAGTGTTCAACATTTATTAAATGAGTGAATGAATGAAACCTTAAGCTCTTCCCTCAAAACCCCTACCCTACTATTGTTCCTCTCAGCACATAATTTCACCAGCATTATCTGTGGCTGCTCCCACCCTCACCAATACTTCTCTAACCTGGGAAAGAGGCCTCCCTTTTTCCTCCTGCTAAAAGCAACAAGCTCTGGGTCCCAGCCAGAATTTTCACCTTCTCCCTCTTTACTGGCTTTTTCCAACAAGCTATGAACATCTATAAATAAACAAAACTCTGTTTCTCCCTCTACTACTGCATATTCCTTTTCAACCCAAGTTTATTCATTCATTCAACAAATATATTGGATAACTTCACTAGGCACCTGAGAAGGATGCCCAATCACTACCTGTAGAGCAGAGTCTTCACCTCCTCACTTCTTACTTCCACTCTAGCCAAGTGCAACACAGCAGCCATCCTGGGCCCTTTAAGAAGGACCACCAGTGATTTCCCAATAGCCAAACCCAGTGACCTCCTTTTCGTCTAATCTCACTTGACTTTGTTGACCAGTCAATCCCATCAAACTGTTCCTTTGGCTTCCATAACAAACCTCCCTCGTCTCTCTCTTCCTTCCCTGACTAGTTCTTTCTTGTCTCCTTTGCTGTCTCCTCTTCCTCTGCTGTACCCCATAAATGTTGGTGATTATCAGGGTTCTGTCCTTGACCCCCTTCTCACAAAACTGCAAGCTTACTCTGGCTAATGTTGTCCACTCCCATGGTTTCAACACCCATCAATAAAATGATATAAATCTGGGTCTCCAACCCAGATTGCTTTCCTGGACATATAGTCAATATCCTCTTGGATGTCCCCAAAACATCTTAAATTCAGCATGTCCCACACAAACCTACCATCTTCTCCCTAACTCCCATGAACCTTCTCTTCTTATATCCTCCATTTCAGAGAGCAATAAACATCTAAGCTAGAAACCTAGGGATCATTCAACTTGGTAAGCAATTCTTGCCATGTATACCTCCCATGCATATCCCTTGAACTGATCCCCACTACCTCTGTCTTAATTCAGACCGTCATCATTTCTAACTTAGAAAGTTGCAGTAGCCTCTTGCCTGGCCTCCCTGCCTTCTGTCTCATTACCCACTGCCATCAAGTCAATACCAACTCATAGAAACCCTACAGGACAGAGGAGAACTGCCCCAGAGGGTTTCCAGGGCTACAATCTTTATAGAAGCAGACTGCCACATCTTTCTTCCACGAAGCTGCTGGTGGGTTGGAACTACCGACCTTTCAGTTTGCAGCCAATCACTTAACCACTGTGGCACCAGGGCTCCTTCCTGTCTCATTACTTTCATCTATTCCTAACAATGGATGAGTTTTCTATAATGTCAATTGGACCACCATGTTCCTCCTCTTGATAGCATTCCACTGCCTTCAAGACCAAGTGCAAACTTCTTATCATGACATTACAGGGCCTCCAAGACCAGACCAGGCCCTGGTTCCTTCCTCAGTTGTCAGTTGCTCTCACCCATCCATCCCTTCTCCGACCCCTCACTACTCCAGTCCTTCTCTCCTGTCTCCCACTCCTCAGAAACACCTATTCATCTTGGAAATAATAACACTATTCAAGTAGAAATGGCCACACACCTTTATGCCCCTTTACTCTGCCACAGTACCTAGAACCTGTGACATTCACAAATTTACTCTGTAGCTCTCCTTGAGAGTAGGGGTCATATTTCATGTGCCTCTACGTGGGACACAGAAGGAACTCAGTAAATGTTGTCTGAATCGAATGAATGCATGAATAAACCCCCTACTGGAACCATAAAGAAACTGTGGCATTGGAGACTCTGCCTAGGGTTCAAGCCTGGGAGCTTTTCTAGGGAAAGAGAACGGACATGGATGAGCACCTTGTCAATGCCAGACACTCATTTTACAATATGCCTTTAATTCTAAATCCCCACCACAGCCCATGCTATGAAGGGGACACAGAGACTCAGAGAGAATAAGTAACTTGTCAAAGTACACAAGTGAATAGATGGCAGAGGTCACATTCAAAGCCAGGTCTTCCTGGCTCTATAGCCTGTGCTCTTTCAGCTCTACTTAGGGTTGGCTGAGAAGACACACATGTAAACAAAACAAACAAAAAAACCCAAACCCATTGCTGTTCAGTCGATTCCGACTCACAGCGACCCTATAGTACAGAGCAGAACTGCCCCATAGGGTTTCCAAGGAGTGACTGGCAACCTTTTGGTTAGCAGCCATAGCTCTTAACCACCGCACCACCAGGGCTCCCATGTAAACAAAGGGTCCCCCTGTATGTCATGAACTACATAGCCAGGTCTAAAGCCAACATTCATTCAGCTCCCTATCCAAAACCTCCTGTCTTCTCAGCTGACACCCTCCCACTACACCTGCTTTTCAACTCCAAGACACTAACTCTTCACCCTTTGATTTTACTCAATCCTGGTTCCATAGCCTCCTTTATCTGGCTTGGACCCAAAGGTCAGGCCAAAAGGGCCTGAGCCAGGGTCAGGATTCAAACTCTGCTGTGTCTCACTCCACTTGCTCTCTCCAGAGTCACCATGAATCCAGGGTCATAGCCAGTTTATTTTTCACTAACACCCTGCCACAAGTCCTGACGACTGTCAGTTCAGTTTGTGAAGGGAAGGAGGGGAAGAAGGCCAAGGAGGGAGAGGAGACTTAGTAACTTTCCTCAGATCTGAGGAAGGCAATCTGCTTTCTGGTTCCAGAGGGCAGAAGGAGAGCTCCGGGCTGAAGCAGCAGTCAGCGCTCCTGTAGCAGGAGCGACTGAGGTTGGACTCAGGAGGGACTTCATAATGAATGAGGAGGGTGATCCCGTGAAAGGGAGAGGGAGGTGTGTGGTCTTTCTCAGTAATGGATTCAGGGGCCTAACTCAGAACTCACAGGTGATGCTCATTTGCACAGAATCCTCCCCTGCCCGCGGATGGAGGAGCTCCCCCAGCCCTGGCAATACAGGGGCTGGGGTTCCAGGTTGGGTACCAGAGAAGCCGAACTGGGGAAAGGAGGAAGGAAGAGAGGGAGGGAACAAGGGAGGAAACAAAGAAGGAAGGAAAGAAAAGGGAGGAAGGGAAGGGCAGTGTGCACGCGTCTCCTTGGAAATGCTGCCCCGGCCCCGCCCCCATCTGGAGGCGATTGTGATGTCACGCTTGGAACCTCCAGACTCCCGCCCTCAAGGGCAAGGGAACCGCCTGCCCCAACCCCGGCGACTGGCTGGGAGCTGGGCCATGGGTTCCAGCCTGGTCTTGCGCTTCATGGGCGGCAGCCCGAGGCCCCGGCTACCGCCCAGCAGTGCCTTCCAGTTCTACAGCCAGGAGCTGCCACTGCGGCTCCTGCCGGACTGTCCCAGCCGAACAGGCAGGCGATCCTCCCAGGTCCTCGGGACCCCATTCCTCAATCACTGGTCCTCCGTTCGGCGTAAACCCGCCCCAGCCCAGCCCTCTCCCTGGATTCCAGTCTTGGACTCCACACCCGCGTGGGGGCTTCAAGCCTATCCCCCAAGCCACGCCCCCGGCCTGAAGCCCACCCTCAATCATCTGCCCCTCCCCCTCCTTACCCTTGCTCTTGCTCTCATCCCAGATGTTGATCTTGTGCCCAGGCCTTTCCCTAGTCCATCTTTCAATCGTCAGTGTCGTCCTGACCCACATCGCTCTCAGCCCAGTTCTTCGTCTCTACGGGGCTCTCTCCTCGCAGAAGTCCAACCCTGAACCTCAGCTAGGTCAAGCCCTCTACCCAACCATAAACCCCAATCTCAGTTTCGCCGAAGTCCTCTAACTCTGCCTCATCTTGCCCAGCTCCCCTTCCACTTCCCCCAGCTCTAGACTGCGTGGTCTTCCTGAGTTCTGACCTTTAGCCTCGTTCTTCATCCGGGACCTCCCTCCTCCTCCCAGGCCCCTCTTTGTCCCACCTTTAACCCTAGCACCTCCCCTGTCTTCTCTCAGGCCAAAACCTTAGCTTGGCCGCTCAGGCCCAGCCCTCAGTGCCATCCCTGGTTTCTCTCCAGATCTACCCCCAGCTCTTGGTCTGACCCCCAGACTTTAGCCCCGCCCCCGCCCC